TGTTTGACTCCGAGTTGACCCCCAAATCTGGTTTTAAAACTATGACAATAACTATTTTTATCCTTATATTGATCTGAATCAATTAGATTAACCCTTGTTTAGAGCATTGGACAAGCTTGTCTTTCCCTTTTTAGTGAGACAAAAATTTCTTCACTAGAACAACCTTGGATAAGACAAGAATTGATTTTTATATTGTCCAAAGGTGCACCAAACAATTTCATAAAATATTATCATGTCCTATCCATCATTGTCCAGCATACCAAACACTACACTATTTAAATATTTGTTAACATGTTGTTGTGATGTTTAAATTAAAATATAATTAAAATTAAATATTCAAAAAAGCCATGAATAAATTACTTCATATATTAATTCTTGTAATTAAATGCTTAAGAAACTAAACTATTGTTTGAAAAATTAAGGTGAACTGTATTTTAGATATTTTTATAATTTTAAGATAGTAAATAATTATTTTTTTCAAATAAAATAAGTAGTTTTTTATCTTAAAGAATATTACTTTAAATGATAGCTATCATGCATATAACTTTTTTTTTATAAAAATCAAATTTCAATAAGTATTTAATATTTAATATCCTTAATTAACATTTTTTATATTTATAGTTATTTTAATTCAAAGAAAAATATTAAAATAAAAAAAAGAGTCAAGATGTTTTGAAATCCATCATTTTTTTGAGAAACGATATATCTAAATCTCAATTAAGGTATATTTCATACCATTTCAAAAAAAAAAAAACTAAATGAAATGAATTTCATATTGCTCAGGATCTTGATTCATTCCAAGTTTCTTGTACAAATTTCAACTGAGATATTTCAGGTTAACTTTGTTCGTCTTTTTCGCAAAAAAAAAAAATAAAATTAACAAAACTAAAGTGAGTTTTTACTTGGCTATCTATTTGCAGAAGGAATTTTTATGGGAAGCTGAAATAATAAAGATAAAGGCTCAAGACTTGAAGGGCAAAAAGGTAAAATAGATTAAAATCTTAATAAGCACAAACTATAGTTTTGAAATAGCGGTTTTGAAATGCTCAAATTGAAAGAAAATTGTAGCGCATCTAAAAGGTTATCATGACATTTAAAGGGTTGTTATAAGAAGATAGAGAAGAGCTTAATCGACTTATTCAAATCCTGTATAAGATCAATTTGATTTTAAAGGGCACCTCGAGAGCGGAAGATACTTCTTGTAGAAAGAGGAAGTATGAAAAATAGGTTCCGACAATGAATTGTAATAAAATCTATGACACAGGCCTATCATTTTCACTGTAGAATATAAAGAAGAGGTAACTTACCTTTACGAGGATGCACTAGTAATTTTGATAGTTCTAGCTAATCATATGGTCTATAAGGTGTATTTCCATGAAGTGATTCTTGCACACCCCATCCTTAAAAAGTATATTTCCACGAAAATGACTTTGGATAATTACAATGTTCTAGCAAATCTATGAGAACATGTTCGAAATATACATAGTAACCTTGAGTTAGTCATCCAATAAAGTGATGTTACGTGTAAAATTCCTCCCTATAACTTTAAGGGCTCAGCATGAGCCTAGTACAACAACTTAGAGTCAGGATGTATCACAAGTTTTAGTAACCTTTATGTTAAACTTGTTTTAGCATCAACATACTAGCCAAGAGGAGCTCTATAGAACTTTTAGCATTACTCAATCAAAAAGGGAATCCATCAAATAATATTTGAAGAGGTTCATTAAAGAAATTCTCAACGTGTAGGAACTAATGGTGCTAGTAGCCTTAGAGGCCTTGATTAGTGGAGTAAGGAACGTTCTTTATGGAAGGACTTGTATGCCTTACCAGACAAAAGCCTATTGAAGGTGAAACAAGTTATAGAGAATCATATATTAGTGGAAAAGGCTAGTAAGTTGAGCATGAGTCTTTTTATTATTACTAGGAGGTTTAGGATAAGAAACCTTTTAAACAGAATCACTTTTTTAGTAGAAATAATAGTTTCAAGAAAAATCAGAAAAAAAGGCCAGTTAGGGATTGCATGATATAACCTGAAAAATACATAACCTCGCTAAATGCCACTGTCACTTAAGTCTTTACATCTATTAAGGGGAAATATTTCATTCAGTATCCACCTTTTATGAAAGAATCTCCACATGCATGCTCCTCTAAATGTTTTTGCTTGTTACATAAGGACAAATGAAATGATAGTGAGGATTACTTCATGTTGAAAAAAGAGATTAAAAGGCTTATACTAAGGGTTATCTTAAAAAGTTTGTGAAAGGGCATGTCCACATTTAAAAGGTTATCATGACATTTAAAGGGTTGTTTTAAGAAGATATAGAAGAGCCTAATCGACCTTTTCAAATCCTGTCTAATCGACTTATTCAAATCCTGTCTAAGATCAATTTGATTTTAAAGGGCACCTCGATAGGGGAAGATACTTCTTGTAGAAAGAGAAAGTATGAAAAATAGGTTCTGACAATGAATCATAATAAAATCTATGACACGAGCCTATCATTTTCACTGTAGAATATAGAGAGGAGGTAACTTACCTCTATGAGGATGCATTAGTAATTTTGATAGTTCTAGCTAATCATCAGGTCTACAGGGTATTGGTGGATGATGCAATTTAGTTAAAATCCTATATAGAGATGCAATATCCTAGATGGGGATAAATTCCTCGAGACCAACTCCTATGAAGACCTTTTGATTAGGATTGAAGGGTCAAAAGTGCTAATGAAAGGCATCCTATAGATCACAATCACAATTAACACTTATCTTAAGTGTCTTACTCTTCAACATATCTCTATAGTGACTAGTTACATGACTTGCGCGATGCCGCGGGTCAATTTTTTTGTATAAAAATATTAAAAAAAGCTAAGATCTAAAAGTATTAGATGTTTTTGCAAAGCTATATTCAAGAATCTTAGGTTTGACTGCAATGTCTGACCTAAAAGTAATATTTATAATAACATTAAACTTGAAAGACTCAAGTTTAAGTGGGTCTGGCTGTAATACCAAATCCAGTAGTCTTGGATTTGAGTCTGGCTGCAAGGTTGTGTCATAAAAGTGTGATACTTAAATAAATTAATAAAAAAAAAAAAAAAACCAACATTAAGAAAAAAAACTAATGAAGAAAAAGATTTTTTTTAAAAAAATCAACTGGGTTAATCGTCAAACCTGAAATCTGTGTCATGAAGTCTGATAACTAAATAGAATAAAAAAATTAATATCAATAAAATAAATAAAAAAAGTTAATTAAAAAGAAAAAAAAGCATCAACCTTTTCACCGTGGACTGGACTGTGCAGTTCACAATGAAAGACCTAAAAAAAAAAGAAAAAAAACTAAAGGCATCAGCCTTTTCACCGTGGACTGCATACAATATTAAAAGATGAAATCGGAAGAACAAAACTAATAAGGAAAAAGAAAAACAATCTGAATCAATTGGGTTAACCCGTCAAACCTAGGATCCGTGCCATGAAAGTCTAATAATTAAACATAAAAAATTTAATATTAATAAATTAAATTAAAAGAATAATTACAAAAGATAAAAAAAAGATAAAAAAAGAAAATAAAGGGATCAACTTTTTCATTGTGGATTGCACTGTGCAGTTCACAGTAAAAGGCTTTAAAAAAAAAACAAAGGCATACACCACGAGTTATTTTTTTCTAGCATAAAAAATATAAAAAAATGCTAAGATCTAAGAGTGTTAAATCTTTCTACAACGATATACCCAAGAGCCTTTGGTCTAACTGCAACACTTAACTCAAGAGTAATATTTATAATAATATTAAACTTACATGACTCAAGTTTAAGTGAGTCTGGTTGCAACACCGGATCCAAGAGTCTTGGATGTGAGTCTAGCTGTAAAGTCGTATCATAAAAGAGTGATAATTAAAAAGAAAAAAACAAAGAAAAAAATCAACGGGAAGGAAAAAACTATTGAAGAAAAAGAAAAAAAATCTGAATTAACTGGGTTAACCCTTCCAATCAGGTTAACCCGTCAAACCTTAGATTCATGTCATAAAAGTTTGATAATTAAATAGAAAAAAATAATTTGACGGGTTAACCCATAATTAACTAGGTTAACTTGTCAAGCTCAAGATACATGTTATGAAAGTCTGATAATTAAATAGAAATAAATTTAACATTAACAAACTAAACTAAATGAAAAAAATTAATTCAAAAGAAAAAAAGCAAGAAAAAAATACAATTTCGAGACTCGTTAAATCAGGTTAACCTATCAAATTTGGGATCCGTATCATGAAAGTCTGATAACTAAATAAAAAAATTACCATTAACAAACTAAATTAAACAAAAAAAATTCATTAAAAGAAAAAACAAAAACAAAAAAGCAAAAAAAAAAACCCATAAAGGCATAAAAAACAAAAAAAATAATCATAAATAAAAACAGAAAAAAAAAAAAAAAAAAAGAAAAAGAATATATATATATATAGTATAATAATAATAATAATAATAATAATAATAATAATAATAATAATTATATATAAGTATAATTAAAAGGCATGGGGAAGCAATAGTGCTTTCCCCTCGCCTTTCAGTATATTGTTAATAGATATGGCTATAGCCTACAACGCTATAATAAGAAGGTCTTTTGAGTACAAGATCAATGCAACCATTAACACCCGATATTTGGTCCTTAAAATTCCCTACTCCAAAAGGGGTGACTATTGTGATAGGAAATCAAGGGGTGACTATTGTGATAGGCATTGTGCCTCTATATGTTTGGAAGGTAAAAAGCCTTTGGTTTTAGACCAACAAAGGCCTCTCAAGGACAGGTTGGAGATCATAACCAAGGCCACAAAGCAGTTAAAAAATTATATTTAAGGGGGGAAGAGGGAGTTGTCACTAAGATAGGCTCTACCTCAGAACCAAATCAATAGTCATTATTGAAAGATTCCCTCCTCACTTATAAGTTTGATTTTACTTTCGGAACTCCATGTATACAAGGGATCAATTCAGAGTGGAGAGTGCTTGCAAACAAACATAATCTAACCTCTATATTAGGCATAACATTACGTGCCCTGTGATCTAATGCATCGCTAACCTTCACATCATTGACGGAGCAAAGGAATGCATCTGGCTACACAACAATTTCACAAAGAAATAAATTTGCAGCAGGTAAAGAGTGTTGTGTATGGTCCCACACCATGTGATGGTGGGACCATCACATTAAATGTCATGTGATGGCTGTCTCTTGGTGTAAATATTAATATGGTTCGGGTACTGTAGCTATAGATTTGAAAAGAGAAGAGAGGAGAAGAAAATCAAGAGAGAAAAAGAGAAGAAAAGGCAGCAGAGCAGCCTTCATTCTTTCTTCGATTTCCAGCTCGTTCACCGTTGGATCGGGCTGAGATTTTGACAGCAGCTTCTAGACACGTTGATCTTCGCGGTTGGATCGAAAATTGGTGGTGCGAAAGCTGGCCGTTTTGACAGAAAACGGGGCTGTCAGTTTTGTGAGTTTTTCTCAAATAATTCTCCTTTAATCTTGTTGTAATCCGAGAATAAGTTGTTCTTGATGATATATATGTTGTATCCCTTAGTTAAATCTGAGGAAGAATAATTATGAACCCATTATTTCTTGATAGTGGAAGTTTTTAGATGGACTACAGTCCCGTGGTTTTTTCCATATCGGGTTTTTCACGTTAAAATCTTGGTGTTGATTTGTGTGATTATTTGTATTATATTTAGTTATTGTTTAATTCTGATTTTACTGCATAAAGAGAGAAAAAAATTGGGACTTGTATTCCACTAAATTATAATCCGGGTAAATTGTTGTTTGATTATTCCTAGTTTTCCTAACATTTCCGGTGTAAGTCAAGCGAGCCTCAGACATTTGAGTGCATGATCTTGTGATATGCCAACGATCTTCAAGGTGATGATTGTGCTCTTGTGAAAATTGTGAGACCACCCATTTTCCATTATCAATTGAAAACTGGATCTTGGCATCATAACCTGTTACTTGTTTCTTTCCTCTTGTACTTCGTTATCTTGTCGGCTTGTTTCTCCAACCGAAACCCTTGTTTCGAGCAAAGGAATCTTTTTCTAATGGTTCCGTTGGACAATCGTTGCACCTTCCCTTTTCTTGTTCTGAAACCAATTATATTTGCATAACTTGTGTAAAATTTGTAAGCCTCCTCTTCAGAAGAGAATTCCATCCCAACTTCTGGTTTTTGACAACTATCCTTCAATTCACTTGCACCAAAAACTAATGTAGCTTGTATCTCATCCTCATCTTCATTGTTTTGTTGTCTGATGACAACGCATCAACCCCATAACACTCTAAATGATGTAAAGCTAGCTGATTTACAATCATATTGATGAAAGAG